TGGTATTTGCTCTAATGTTCCGCTTGACCAAGACATTCTATCTGGGATTAGCGTTTCAAAGTTTCCGACATATTCAGTGTCTGGTATGCGATCAGGCTCGTCCGATGAATGTGTATAACCTTCCAATGTGTCCAGTATACATTGATGACGTGTCCTATAACCGTTTTTGGCCAGTTCGCCTAAAGTAAAGAGCCGTTCGGCTGTAAGCGCCGCCTCATATCTTATATATGTTTCAATGGGTGGAATATCTAGCAACGTTTCCAGAGCCTTGGTTGAAGTAGTACACATGGCACCACTTATACCCAAGCAGCATGTACGCTGAACTCCCTGTAGTAGTTTGATATTACACTTTTTGTCCAAAGCAGTCCACCAGATTATTGAAGCATAAGCTAGAATTGGTCTAATTACACTTTTATAAAGCCAATTTGTCATAGTAGGACTAAGACCCCATTTCATGCCTATGGTTCTCCTACATATCGCCCAGCACCGATGTGCCTTGTTGATCCTATCCTCTATGTGGTGTCTCCATTTTAATTTCCGGTCAAGTATTACACCTAAGTACTTAACTTTGTCTGTCACCGGTATCTTCTTGCCCAAGAAGCAAGGTTCAGTATATGTAGAAATTTTTGTCTTTCTTGTGAAAAGACAGATTTCCGTCTTCGCCGGGTTAACATTGAGGCCTCTCGGTTGAGCCCAGCTCAAGGCCGTATTCAGAGCCTCCTCAGCTCTTCTACACAAGTAATTTGGATCCTTTCCCTTTAAAAGTATTACGACATCGTCTGCATAGCAGACAGGTCTAAGTCCTTTCTCGGTTAGGGTCCTTAGGAGGCTATTAATCGTGGTGACCCAGAGTAAAGGTGACAAAATGCCACCCTGTGGTATACCGCGAAATACCTTTTTCCTGATAGTTATATCGTACATCTCGCAGCTTATCCATCTGTTCCTTAGCATGTAGTTGATCCAGTTACGGAGCACCCGGTCAACATAAAACTGGTCTAGGGATTGGATAAGGGTATCAGTGTGCACGTTATTGAAAGCGCCTTCGATGTCAATGCATACTGCCAGTGTATACAGTTTGCTATCGAAAGATTCACCTATGTAGTGGACAACTTCATTTAAAGCGGTTTCCACCGATCGTCCCTTTACATAAGCATGCTGCTTATATTTAAGGTCATTGTATGGTATGCTGCTTTTAACCATGCTATCGACTATCCGTTCCAAGGTTTTAAGTAGGAAGGACGTAAGACTTATCGGTCGATAAGACTTAGGTGTCGCATAGCTAGGTTTCCCTGGTTTGGGTATAAATATTACCCTTGCATCCTGCCATTTAACTGGGGTATATGCCAATTTTAAGCATGCAGTGAATATCTGTGACAGATGTACGGAAACCAGTCCCGCCTCCATCTGCAAAAGTGCCGGGAAAATTCCATCCGGCCCTGCAGCTTTATAGGGAGCAAAGCTCTTGATTGCCCCTTTCACCATGTCAGTTGTAATAACTATTTCCGTGTTACCCTCCCCTTCCTCCAATATCGATTCATCTATGTTATTCGATATACCGGGTGGGAAATGAGAATCCATTAGGAGTTTCATTGTCTCCTCCATATCCTCAAGCCTCCTGCCCGTGTCATCGATCATAGATTCCGGTTGGACATGAGTTTTGGATAGGAATTTTTTTATCTTCGATACGTCATTTACGCTATCTACCTGTTCACAGAAAAGTTTCCAGGAGTCTCGTTTGGCTTTTCGAACGATTTTCTTATATTCACCAAGTTTATTACGATACTCATCCCAGTATACTGCGGTCTTTTTACGCCGTGCCCGGTTAAATAGTTTGCGAAGAGTCTTCCCAAGGTTCCGGATCTCCCCAGTTACCCAGGGTTTTTCCTGGGCAGATCTCCGCTCTCGCAGAGGGCAGCTGTCCTCGAACGATTCAACCAGGGCACTTGTGAACGTTTCCACTTTGGCATCTATATCCTCTTTATTTCGACATTGAAAAGTGTCCTGACCTAAACGGTTCTTTAGTAAGGTCCCGAACATTGTCCAATTAGTTTTAGACTTATTCCGAAACTTTATCGGCTTTGGTGGTGGCCTTAGTATTTTGAATCTTATGTACCGATGATCAGAAAAGGAGTGCTCGTCCGAAACTCTCCAATCCTGAATTTCGTTTATAAGCTCTTCTGAACATATAGTTATATCTAATACTTCTTCTCTGATTCTATTGACGAAGGTAGCTTTATTACCTAAGTTCAATGTTATCAAGTCTTTAGTATTAAAGAAATCCATGAGGGCTTGTCCCCTGCGATTGGTGTTTGTACTACCCCAAGCTACATGATGCGAGTTGGCATCACAACCTATTACAATTTTCTTATTTTTCCTTTGTGCCTCTTCAACCAGTTTCATCAGATCCGACGTTGGTGGTAGTGTCGGAGAATCGAAAGGCAGGTAAATAGATGCAAGGAATATGTTGCCACGACCTTGCTTCAGCACCGTTGCATCCGATGTTGATAATCCTGTTGAGAGGAGAAAACATAAGTTCTTGTGACATAAGATACATGTTCTCGGGCGAGATCCTGTATCAGCGTAGAAAAGTTGGAAATTTACGTGATTTAATCCAGAAACCTTGTTGCGAATCGTCCAAGGTTCCTGGATTAAAGCTATATGTATTTTACCTGTGTTGATTTTAGCCATCAGAGCGTTGGTAGCTGTCTCGCTCCGATGGAGGTTTATTTGGATAACCTCAATCATGGTCATCCATTAAACTGTCTTCCAGCGAGTTGGTGGTCACCTCCTCGCTCTTTGGATTTGACTCCTCCGGATAGCCTGAAGTGGCTATTAATGCAGTGAGTACTGTTGATGGCACTGCGGTATCCTTATCAGGCATAGGAATAGCAATATTTTTAATAGACACATTCCCAATTCTGGAGAGCATTGCTGTTCTGTCTTCTGGCGGGTGAGTGATTTCCTCCTCGCTTTTAGGATTTGACTCCTCAACGTTGCTAGTACTTGCTAATGATGCTTTGGGTACTGTCTTAGGTGTTTTAGTGTCCTTGTCGGGGCCGGTTTTGACAGCCCTTTCAATCGGCGCCTTCCCAATTTTGGAAAGGGCAACTACACTTTCTTCTGGCGAGTTAATGGTAAATTCCTCGATTTTAGGATTTGACTCCTCAACGTTATCAGTAGTGGATACTGATGCTGTGGTCTTAGGTTTTTTAGTGTCCTTTTCGAGGCTTGTTGTAACAGCCCTTCCAATCGGCACCTTCCCAATTTTGAATATGACAGATTTAGAGGCGAAGTAAGCCCTACCTTTATTCTTGGCAAGACTAGCCATGGATTTCTGGTCGATACCTATTACAAATAAAGTTCCCTCAGGTTCTTCTTTCCTGTAAAAGACATCCCATTTTTCCACGGCCAGCTCAGCATTTTGACCTCCAAGAATTGCCAGTATACGTTCATTAGCCAGTTTACTGCCCCATCCTTTTATGTAGACAGTGGACTTTAGGAGCACCGGAAGCTCGCTCTTCTTTGCCAGTCCCAGCCTAGCGCCGTCCCAGGGAGGAGGGATACTTTCCACCAAGTTCTTTAGGGTGCTAACACATTGGTGAGATGCCAACCTCATCAACATCACGCCCATGCTGAACTCGCAGCTCTCGCTCTCTATTGGTTGTTTGCCCTTTGAAGCGATTGCATGGTCCACTATCTTATTGTTGACCAGGTCTTCTATTTTACTCTGTTGGTCTATTGGAATTTTGCCTGTCGGATTACCGGCATCGTAAACTGCATAGCAGAGATCGTCCCGGTGCCTACTTCTGGCAACTTTGGCGTAAGATGGCGGCTCTTTTCCTTTACCTCCGTCTAGCTTCTCCTTCCTCGTTTTTCGGGGCTTCTTTTGAGATTCCCTTACCTTCGAGGTTGATTTCGCCGACGTGTTCGTCTTCGGAATATCTGGCTTGGCGTTGTCACCCTTACTCGCAGGATTCTCACTTGAGATTCCTTTGAGTGAAGTATGGCTTGGCTTCGACTGTGTATTAGAAGACGGGGAGCTCTTTTTCTTCTTAGGTTTATTCTCAGTTGTCAACTCCTCGGGAGACCTGATCCTTTTTGCCTCAGATCTTGTGAGAGAGTCCGATTTTTCCTTTGGAGTGTCGTGGGATTGACTAACTATGATTTCCTGAAGCATCTTTTTCAACTTCCTCCTCTGTGCTCCAGAAAGTCTTTTCTTAGTAATAGGTAGTTTAGCTATGCTATCACTCACCTCTTTCACCATTTGCTCTACTTCATCCTTTTTGGGATTTGCTATAATGGTATTATTTTTATTATCATCTGAGGATTCAGAGTCGGAACCCTCACCTATATTTAAAGGCTGAGGTAGCTTAGAGCTCCCTCCGAGTACATCCTTCTCTTTCACCCCTATATTTTTGCCAGCGGCATGCTGTACACTTGACGCATTGTCCGCCACGGAGGCCAAGGTACCCACCTCCGTAGTAGTATTCTGCTCACGATTGCAGGATGACGACGACACGTGACTCGCGAGTAGATCAACACTTGCCGCCGGTACTGGGTTATTTAGGCCCTGCACCGTAACTTTTATCTTTTTATTTTTATTTTCCATATTTGTTTTTTTTTTTTTTCCAGTTTTTTGGTCCGCGGGGAATATAATATTCCCAGGTGGTGGACAATCTGCCCTCCCTCAGCTTAAGTGAAATTAAAGCTGGGAGAGGACAGATGGTCCATCACCACCCCCTATCCGCCACCCGGGGACGCGCTCGGTAGGAAAAATCCGGAAAACTCCCCCGAGATTATGGGAACATAATAGGAATAAAGTAAAAAAATTATATAGGATTATTAATTTGGCTTTTTGGAATTTTTACTCTAACCTTTTTTTCAAAATTGACCAAGTTTGGATAGGGCTGTATGACAAAATATTTTCCAATTTCAACACAAATAATGACAATATTTAAAAAATACGAGACTATCCAATAATTTGCATTTATTTATTTCAGAATGTCTTTTATCGAAATATTGCTCCCATAAAATGGTTTTTAAGCATAATTGGAGCCCTGCCGATGAAACGGTCTGGACCAGGAAAAGCTAAATTCGTCATTGGATCGATTGTTTTCGCTTATTCTATTGTATTCTTTACGCTTCTAATGGTAATATAATATAGATTAATAAATAAATTTCAATAAAAAATTAATGTACAAATACTTTATCCGGGTGATACGATTTGACCCTATACGACCAGAGTTTACGAAGTCGAACTCAGTACCTAAGTAAATTTCATACAAAAATATTGCATAGAATATTTATTAAAACATGATTTCCATTTCCTTCTGTAGAAGTGATGTTTAATAACTACTGCACCCACATTACTTCCAAAAAATAACATAAAAATTACTTCTTGAGCATGGCTTCAGATGTAGTGAATTTTGAATCATATAAAAGAACATAAATTATCATTTTATTAAAAATCTGTCATGATAAATCGTTTTAACTGTGATTATTTAATTTCCATATTGTAATGCTCTCTGACGTGTAAACATTAATATTCATTTATATATTGTAATAGATTTACGTTGCCTATGTTGCAAACAATCGTATCATTATTGTTACATCACTAAGTGGACCATTTGAAGAGGCCGTCATTGCATATTTGTTTCTGGTTAACATATTACCAATATTTTTAATACCAATAATGTGGTGGGAAACTCGTAAAATATGTCGTCTTATTAATGATTGGGACGATTTTGAAGTAAGAACACGCTAAAGTCAAACAGATATGTATGTTGATGATGCTAGTTTAATTCATTTACAGATACTTTATTATCAAATATCGGGCCATAGCGTTCCCTTGAATTTAAGGCGCAGAACACGGATCATAGCTATTGCTTTGCCTATACTTTCAATACTTTCGGTGGTAATTACACATGTAACAATGGCGGATTTTGATTTGATACAGGTTGTACCCTACTGTATTTTGGATAACTTAACAGCTATGTTGGGAGCCTGGTGGTATCTCATTTGTGAAGCTCTAAGTACTACAGCTAATATTTTAGCAGAACGTTTTCAAAAGGTATTTGTATATGAGAAATGCTAATTACTAATCTGATCAAATTTCAATTTTTACTAATAGGCCTTGCGTCATATTGGTCCGGCAGCTATGGTTGCCGATTATCGAGCGCTCTGGTTGAGATTGAGCAAATTAACACGTGATACTGGCACTGCAACTTGCTACACATTCACTTTTCTAAATCTATATCTATTTTTCATAATAACTCTTTCCATTTATGGCCTAATGTCACAACTTTCCGAAGGATTCGGCATCAAGGATATTGGTCTAGCCATTACGGCATTATGGAATGTCTGTCTTTTGTTCTTTATCTGCGATCAAGCTCACTATGCATCTTTCAATGTTCGTACTAATTTTCAAAAGAAATTACTCATGGTTGAATTGAATTGGATGAACTCTGATGCTCAGACTGAAATCAATATGTTTTTACGTGCCACCGAAATTAATCCCTCGAACATCAATTGTGGTGGATTCTTCGATGTCAATCGCAATCTATTCAAAGGGGTGCGTATTGTTTGTTTATTTGTCAATTGAACTAGATCTATGATTGTAAAAAAAACGTGAAATATTCTTTATTTACAGCTATTGACAACAATGGTTACATACTTGGTAGTGTTGTTGCAATTTCAAATTAGTATTCCAACTGATATACGAACTGTTAATCGGAATGTAACAATAACCGAAGACATTTCAATGTCTGATTCTAGTATGAATAGTGAGGAAATGGAAGTTGATGTTATGACAACAATGATGACAACTCTAGCCACAACGACAACAACAAGAGCTACTGTGCCACCTGTTCGAGGTCGAAAGGGATGAATTATTCATACCAGTTGTGAAAATATATTGATGTAATATTTAGAAGTAGTTGTTTTTTTCGAAATTTATATTATAACCTTAGAAAAAATAAAATAAAATGAATTAATATTTATTTTCTCTACATGATTTCTTAATTTGAAAAGTAATCTATCTTATATATTGATCCGTAGAAGTTCCCAAAAGTAGTTTTATATTATTCCGACTATTAGTTTGGTTTTTGGACTATTTTTGTGCTAGATCCTATTGATGTTAATAATGTATTTGTGTTAAGATTTAGTTAAAACCCTTTTGTATTTGTAAACCTTGTTTTGTATTTGAGAAATGTTTCGTATTTATATTCATTCGAAAATAAACTTTTATAATAAAAGGCGTTGAAGATGTGTGGAATGCTCTTGAAAATAATATTAAAAAAATAAAAACGATTAAAAAATGTGTTTTTTTTTCTGAAAATGTTTTCAATAATTTTATGGGAAAACATAACTTTTAGCAGTGTTTATTCAGCAGCAGGGGCTATTTTGCCAAAGGAATTAAGCTAATGCTAAAATTAACACTTGATATGAACGATTATTGTTAATTTCAAAGCAGCCCAAACGCAGTCAAAATACACCCTACACCACACCAATGGGAACGGTATTTTGTTTATGTCTTAAAGTTTGTAACACATGCGTCGATGTAATGATGTAATCCGCCCATAAATTAGACTATTGAACTTTTTTGTAAGCGGTACATGATATACAAGAATAGGGTATTTATAAAATTCGACTCAACAAATTTTATATATACGAAATTTTGACTATATATTGTTATAATGAGTAGTACATTCATTAATTAAGCAAACATCAATCTCTTGAATATAACTTCTACATTAAAAAATACTAAATAACTTATTGCTACTTACTCGGAATGTGGTAGGGTATGATGTATTCGGATACATTTTGTACTTTCATATTTTTGTTATTTTATGTAAACAAAAATAAAAATGCTCATACAATTGTATTAAATTCACACAGAACCTGTACATGTGAGAGAGTAATATTTCTTATTCTCAGTCTCAGTTCTATTTATTTTTCTATGGTTCAAGGTATGTACAGACTTTTTTTCGTTCGTTTGAGATGACAATCAAGATGTCACAATGCATACTTCCAAATTAAAAGGATTATGGTTAGAATTCAATAATGGACTAAAAGAAATGAATTTAAATGATTTACCAGATTTATTGCTAGTGGATAAGGTTTTACACACACTACCATCAAAATTCGACACGTTCAAATCAAGTTGGATGATGTTAAACAGAAATGAAGAGAAAACATTTGAAGAAACATTTATGCAAATAACTATGTATCAAAGGAACTTTGGAAAAAGATGGTAAGCCTAGAAGCAAATGAAGCCACAGTTGTGAGTCAAAAGTGTTTTCCTGTTTTTTTTTGTGAGAAAATTTGGTGCAAGATGCCGGTACCACATGTTGGTGGACTTACAATGGAGCAATGCGCCATATAACTAAGAGTAAAGACAATTTTAAAGATTTTGAGTCGTTTTCAAGTCCAAATTTCATAAGAGCAACAGGTAAAGAAGTACTAAAAGTCATTTGTAAAGGTACAATAGAAATTGAATCGAAAGTCAAGAACAAAACAGAGAGGCTGTGTTTAACAGACGTTTGGTATGTACCTAACGCCACAAGGTATTTATTTTCAGTGCTATCAGCTCAGAATAAACAACCAAATAGCAGATTTATATCGACAGCCGAAATTAGATCCAAATATCTTGGAAGTGATATTATTCCGTATATTCCGTGATATTATTCCTCACGAACACTGATTGAAAAATTCTTAGGAATTACGTCCATGAAACTGAGTTTCTGAACATCGGACGATAATACATTTAGTAAATACTAAGTCGGCAACGAAAGCGGGAATGTAATTGTTAGAATTTTAAATAAAATTCAATAGTTTTCTTTTACAATTAATTTTCGAATCCCTCCATATTTTATTTTTTTATTTGAATATACATACATAAAATGTCTTTTTGATTATTTTCAAAATTATTTAAGCAAAGTGCTTACAGTAATAGCTTTAAAGGGAAGGGAGCTCGAGGCAGTTAACCTGAAAAAAGCAAAACCATTCGACGCAACAAAAGCTGAACTAAAAATATGGGTGAGAGAATCCCATAAGGCCTATTGGAATAATCAAACGGTGGGTAGAAAAAATCTATTTTAAATTAAAAAAATTAACGTTTATGTTTAAATTTGATTAAAAAAACATATAACATATAACATTAGAATCTAATGATTAGATCTAGTCGTCTAATTTACATTATTTCGTTAATGTAAACAAATAAGGAAAAAAGTGGGACACTTCTGTTAAACATAAGGAACTATGTAATCCTAAAATCTAAAATCCTTGCTTAGGCAATTTTCATAGGCATTTCAACACTTCCATAATAGTTCAGATGCAAATTAATTATTGTAATTGGAATATAATCTTAAAATTGATAATATTGTATTAAACAGTTATTTGAATCTATTTTACAAATAAAATTTGTTAATAAATTAGGAAAATCAAAAAAGTTTAACCAAAGTCTAAATTTTTCGATATTCGAAAAATCAACATTCAGAAAAAGCCGACACTGGCAAAGCAGAAAAAACCGGTTGAAAAACCGAGTCGATCACCCTAGTGGACACACAGTATTACGAGCACATCTATGCAAAATTGGACGTGCGGATTCAAACATATGCAGAGCATGTGGAGAGGACAGTGAAACTCTGAAGCACTTTCTTTACCACTGTCAGGCATTCATCGAAGTTAGATCCAAGTATTTTGGAAGTGATGTTATTCCGGAAATAACATTCCTGACTAACACTGATTGGAAGATTCTTAGGAATTACGTCCAGGAAACCGAGTTTCTGAACACTGAAAAATAATTCATTCAGTGAATATTTTGTTCATGAAAAGGAACGCACAACAAGCCCGATAGTAGCCTAGGTGTATTTCTTCGGATTTGATGTACTATATGTACATCCTCCTATCAACCTAACCTAACAAGGGAAAGTATTGATGTCAATAATGTATTTGGGTTAAGATATAGTTAACATCCTTTTTGTAAAACCTTGTGAAATTTGTATGTAATTAATGTTTTTTCTTAATGTTTCAATAACAAGAACCTTTACTAAAATACGATTTTGGTTTTGATAAGCAAAATACAATTAATTTTAAATAAATCAATAAATATTATATTTTTTTGTGAACTAATGGAATTTGGAGAAGCTAAGTAAAACAAAATCTATCAGAATAATACGGAATTGAAACCATTCCGATCGAAATGTGTAACAGACCTGCTAATTTCCCAAGAACAATTTTAGAAGTTGCTCTAAAAAAGTAATTGTAGAACGAGTGCAAACAGGATCTCTTCAGATACTTTAACAACAACCATAGACCTAGTAATGTCGCCATTACTTCTGGAACCTGTTCCTACGAACACTGTTGTGGTTCTAAAATACTTCTCCAGATTTTTTAAGGAACTAATTGTTTGACACTAGTTATACGTATGTATATTGGTACTACACTAGTTTAATAGAACGTGTACTAGTTCCGAAACGGCTTCTTGGAACCACCTGAAAACAATTAATAAGCATATTTTATTTAAACAACATATATCATATATTTATGTAAACAACAGAACTCCATGGAATTAAAGTGCTCGCAAATTTGATTTTACCATGAAAATGGAAATTAGATGCTAGAGTAGATTCGTGTATCCCGACATAAAAATATTTTAACAAATAATAGAGGCGGCAGAATGATTTCAAACTTTTAAAAAATATATATGTAAGTAAGTTTTCTAAATTCTGAAAAAAACGGGATTATTTTTAAATATGATAAGATGTATAAGTTCTCTAAAGCTTCTCTAGAACTAGTTCAGAGGTTGACAAATTAGAACAAAAATTATTTATTAAAGAACTGGTTCCCGAACAGCTCCGAAAAACGAGAATCGGCACCATTACGCTTCCTCAGAACCAATGTGAAATGTAATGGTGTGAAATTAATAAAAATTGTACTGGGTTTGTTTGTTATACGAAAGAATAGTAATGATTCAGTACTCACTATACAAAAAGTACTTTACACTTATATTTCATCTTCAAAAAAATATGTTATATATGTGGTTTCAACTTTTAACATCTATGTATATGATAGCTTAGTTTTGATAAATCTACGAACAATGTATTCATCAAACCATCGAAAAAATGCATTTATTACTTCCTTTTACTGCAAACTGGGGAATTTTAGATAGCTAAATTAAAGTTAGTACAGGGCTTCGCCTCGGAATCTTAATTAATCGGTTAAAAGTCACAATTAATCACATGTGGGCTAGAGTTATGTCTTTTTGAAATTTTTGCAAATATCAAAAGTACCTTGTAGAGCGTGAACAGATGTTATGGAATATAATATTATTTTTTCGCGGTCGTAAAAAAAGTTTCCGCACCAAAAGCGAAAGCATTTTAGAAATTGCGTTCGGTGCGGGAAGTTTTTAACCGAATTGACTTTTTAATTAATATTTTGACCAGACATCATTTAGTAATAATAAAATTAAATCTGGAAAAACTTTATTAATCCTGTAAGTTTTATCAATTAAATCTACATTTTGGAAATACCATGTATTAAAAAAAAACTGGAAAACAAGGACACGTGCTTTGGTTTGGCGTATTGGTGGAGTAATTCTTCCTAGATATACTACTCAACAATAATTATTGTTATCTCCTTGGTATACACGATATGTGTAACCACGTTGTTTGGTTAACCGAAATCTCCGTCTCTGAATAACTGCCGTCAACCCAGTCCATGTTATCTCTTGAAACTATTCATCAAGGCTAATTAGAAGTCCACTGGTCAAAAACAATTGGGAAGTTATTTTACCAGATCCAGTCAAATTGGATCTGGTAGTTTTAACCTACAGTTTAGGACATCAATAAATAAAGCGTCGAGAATGTTATAAAAAGAAAGAAACTAATTTGCAATCGAGTCAACGAAAATATACTCCTGGATACATTTCTACTATAATTCTGCCCTCCACAGCATTTTCATCGTAGTCATAGGAATATAACACTGCAGATAAAAATTCAACAGCAAAGCAAGGAAAAGTGGACAATTCAGTGCCAATTCACCGAATAGACTTAAAAAATTTCGTGTGTATCACTAAGGATGACAGAAAATTCATTTATACCGATTTTTGTATTGATAGGACCTTATTTGACCCCAGTCTCCACAATAATAGTCTTCACCTAAAATGTAGGACGCATAATAAGTGAGATATTCGTAAAACAATGATTTCTTTTGACCTCGTTTAGCTCATACGATATTTATGGTGACTTTTAATACTTTATTAATAATGATAAGGAGAAAATATGTGCCAATTTTCATTTAGCTATCTAAATTTCCTGAGTGTAAAACAGCTGTAGGCATTTTTTGAATATATACTCCCGATATGTTATAAAAAGTATGTCTGAATATAATATATTCATATTATGTATATTTATAAGTATATAGAATTTTATTGTATCGTTTATTACTTTTATTATTTCCTAAATCAGTTACATTGACTTTTAAGTGCATATATTTTAGTATTTTATTAATATTATTATTATTTCATTATTTAATAAATATCTACATATGTATTTGTATATTATTTGGAAGGACAGGTTAGATTATTACTCAAGTATGTAAACAGTAGTATATCAATCCATGTTATATGTATGTATGTATGTATGTATGTATGTATGTATGTATGTATGTATGTATGTATGTATGTATGTATGTATGTATGTATGTATGTATGTATGTATGTATGTATGTATGTATGTATGTATGTATGTATGTATGTATGTATGTATGTATGTATGTATGTATATCGTTCTTCATGTTTTTACATTTTAATAACACTGATTAAAATATCGAAAGAAAAAACCAGACCGTAGTCATTGACATATCATTGTCTAGGTAGTAAAAATTTATTTTATATCTGATAGGTCTGATAACACTGCGAGTAAAATTTAAACTTTTGAAATGACACAGTAAAGCGGACAGATACGTAAATTTGATTTTGCGTCGTAGTATTTAATGACATACCTAGTTTTAAAAAAAATTGGATATGTTGCAATTTTAAGTTTGCATTGCCTTTGAAGCAAATTTGATATCTAAAGGAAAAGTCTTGAAAATTCTTTTGAAATTACTTGGTTGGTTGTTAATTTTCAAAACTTGATTTTAAAATTGACGTCCAGGTTTCGTCTCTGACCCTCTGTTCTGTTTTTGGGTTTTCAGTGTAAATTTGATGATCATTGTGGCTGGAGTTAAATTTCAATAACCCAATAAATTTGTTAATTTTAAAAGAGTTTTTGAATCTTTATCTTGAATTGTAAACAAAAAGCGCTTCAGAGATAATACAAACTTCAAAGTGTAATATATACTGTTTGACCCTATTTTCCAAAACAAAGTTTGATACTTGATTCTACGACCTAAAATTAAGATTACGTGTATTCAAATTCTTCTGTGTAATTTTCACATACTTACAGTGTAATCGATATACAAAGGTAAATATTTCAATCTTCCTTTAGGATTTTTGCTGATGAGTTGCTATTGCTACAATGTTAAAAAATACTGATGCAAATTATCATTAATATATGTGTTATAAATTAAACTTTAGAGAAATTCTATATATTCTAGATCAGAGTATATTTAAATCTTATAAGATCTAAGATACTACCGAACTTGTTTTTCTCTTTTTGTTTTGCCTTGACAAGTATTCTTTATCACAATTTTTTTTTTAAACTGAGATATTATTTTAACTCGTTTTTCACATTAAATTATCAAATTATTTATTCACCTATGTATTATAATTCGTATTTTAGAACCTATGTATAATTCGCAAGGAATGAAAACTCATTTTAATTATTTGAAAAAATTGTATTGTGCCAAAACCCAATTCGGAATTGCGAATTATATGCTTAGTAAAATTACTACTGTATGTAATTTATTAAAAAATATAATAGATCTGTACCGAAAAAAATGATAAAGCAAATTGGAGGAAACTGTAATTAAATAAATTTTGGTGAAAAACAAGTAAAAATATTCATTTATTTTCTATTTAAAATCAATAATTGCCATCGGGCGCCTCGGTTAAAATGTGTTTATAGCCATTGCTGCCTAAATACATATTTTCTCTTCGGAAATGGAATGGAACCTGGAAAAGGAAATAATTAAACTTAATTACTAAAAGTTAAATAAATTACATACATAGAAAATAACAAGTTAGGGTGCTGTACCATATAAATATATTTTTATGTACTTATTTAATAAATTGTGAATATTTAAATTTTGGTTCCGTGATGAGGGTGCTATGATGTTGAAAACACGTAGTAATTGCTTAATGCATCTATGGAGCTAATTTTGATCAAGTCTATAACAAATTTATGGACCTTTTTTGGGAGATATGACCAATTATTGACTAATCCGAACTTATAGATATATTAATGTCTTGCATACATAAATGAGATAAAGTGTCTTAAGGAAGTGGACCTTATATGAGAGCTATGACTAATTATAGACTAAAATTCAGTATAATTTGTATATACACAAAATATAAATATATCTCTTTTTGTAAATAGAATATGTGCGTTTAAATAATTTTCGGAAGTGGACCTTATATGCGAGAAAAGAACAATTATGGGCCTATCCAAAAAAAAATTTCGGAGTGATTTGTATATACAAAAAACTTATTTATGCGGAATTTTGTTCCGATATCTTTATTTATCAATGAAATATGCGATTTTCGAAAGTGGATCTTATATGATGGATATGAGCAATTTTGGACCGATCATGAAAAAAATTGATAGAGTCATATTCATACATATATATACCCACAAAACATATTTATGTCGAATATTAATCCAATATCTGTATTTATTAATTATTTATGTGCATTTAAGTGATTTTCGGGAGCTAGGGAGCAACCTGCAACATGGTTTATATGTATTTTAAACACATTATTCGTTCAATAATGAAATAAGTGCGTTTACGTGGTAAACGGAAGAGGCTTGTATATGGGATTATGACCAATTATGAAATTTTTTCAAGGTAGTCTGAAATTTTACTCATAATTTTTTTTTCGTTGCCAACCGATTTTGCTGATTTTCAATATCAAACAAATAATAATTAATATTTTTGTTGAATTTCCTTCGCTAAGTTTTAATGTTTTAGACAGACAGGTAGACAGACGGACAAAGCTAAATCGAGAATTTCATAAGGACCCGGAATATACATACATATGTACATATTTATATTTTGTTGGATATCAGAGGAATATTTCTAGGTACTACACACGGACTGACACACATATGTATGTATGTATACATATATGCCCTCTATCATTACTGGTGGTGGTGGAGTACTTGAAGTCGGACGTGACTATATTTCTTACTTGATTATCAATTAAATGTTTAATGCGAAATCTTACCGTTCCGGGCGCAGGACATGGAATGGCAACAGTAGCTATTTCACGTAATTTGTTCATTAAACGTATGCTGTGATAGAAGCAATAAATAATGTACCACATTGTTGCATCACACACGAGTACAGTTGCAGACATAAAAACTAAATAAAAGATGAATATTGTTATTTCATAATCTACAATTAAATCAATAAAACACCTATAAAAACAGGTGACAGAATCTACTCACAGAAAAATAACTTGCCAACTGTATGCTTAACAAATTCACCATCCGATATCCAAACACTAAAAACTATTCCGCCAATAAAGAATACGACCTGCAGTATCAACCAAATCAAAACGAATTCCTCACGACTCTTATAGATGCCAATCAGCAGACCAATAGCACTCAGCAAATAGACGGCCGAGCAACAGACCATTGAGAAGGCAAAGACCCGTGATGTCATTGTAACGTCGTTGGCAAAGTGAAAACGTATGCGGTTCAATATCAAGTCCGGAAGACTGTAATACGCATTGTCACGTTGATCTTCCATGTCGGCAATCGCCCTTGAATTGGCTTCCTCGATATGAATGTAAGCCAGTATGACAATGAAGAGCAGAATATTTGCAATTAACTATTAAAGAACAAATTGATATGAAATCAGAAACGATGTTTTTTTTTTTAAACGGAATCTTCAACTTACAAACTGATTAATACAAATGAGAACAGCTGATAAACGTATATGTTTTGGCCTTATCGGTGACTTCAGAATGTCCAGAAAACGTTCCAAGCATCCTGGACGTATTTGCTCCGGCAACAACATTGATAAAAAGTTATTTTTTTCCAGTTGCTATGCTTTCAAACTCAGTTACACTAATTTAATTTGTATTTCTATTTTAGGATTTATTGTTACTCAATACACTTTTCAGATAAAATATCTTTGATAGTTGCAGTTGCTTTTATTCGCCTTATTTTGACGTAAGTGAATAAAGTTTGTTTAATCAATAACTGTGAAATTAGTTTTTACATTTTTCCTTAAAGGTTTTTTCTCTCTTTTGGCACTGTTTTTACAGTGTTGTTGTTGTTGCGACGAATAAACAATGAATGAGAAAGTGTTTTTTCTGTTTTCCTTTATTTTTCTTTAAATCCACGTGAAAATTTTTCAAACATTTTCCTACTTAGTATTTTGTGGTTTATTTCTTTTTTCAACCTTAATGTGACAGCTGAAGCTTTATTTTACGTCTTTGCCTTGGTTTCTCTTTTATTTGAATTTATTACAATGAGCTTTCATCGTGGCGTATACTTAATATTTATTTAAGTATTATGTACAACGTGCATACATATGTACATAAGTATGTTAATGTTACGCGTTAATGCTGCTAACAGAAATGTTGTTAACATGTAAAAGTTTTTAATTTTTTTATATTTTAAAATATTTACTATTATTTTACTACATACTTAAATATATATATAAAATATTTATTTCAAATTTTTAAATAAGTTCATTTTAAAATAATTTTAAAGTTTTCAATTTCTATGAATTCAAATTAATAGTCTATTCCGTTTCAAAACTAACTACATTAGCAAATTAAATAAAAGCTTTTATACAAGCTGTTATAAACTGTTTAACGCGAAGTATAATCAATAGATTTTATTTTGAAATTTACGTTTAAAAGTAATAAAACAACGTTCACACCTATCAAATATTTGATGAAACATAATAAAAATCATGTATGATGAAAAAAACATATACAAAAAATAGTGGTTACGTATTTTTCGTCAAATATTTGATAGGTGTGAACGTACCTTAAGTAAACTAAATATTTAATGTACTAATTGTTGTAAGAATAAAAAGTTAATACGTACATAGTTATTATAGTTAGTTACAGCAGTTATAAACCGTAATTTTTTTCATTGTGTAAAAAAGTTAATACTTGTAGGATTGCGAAGTTTTTACATGGATGTTCATACATGCGCATTGTGCAATTCAAAAGCTTTACTGTTTCATATCCTTTTTAAAACGAAGAACAATTGTCAAAAACGACCAGTATTGCCACCAACAATGAAATTTTTCTATCAAATTACACTAGTTTACAAATTAATGTATTTATATACTTCACTTCAATTGAGATTTTTGGTACATGTTGAGACAGATATTGTAAACAAACAACAACATACATAATCATACGATAAATTGTGTTCTTGTACTTGTTTGTTTATAAAAACAAAGCAAAGAATGAAGCTGTGTATTGTTATTGCCTAGGAACATGAAATTAAGTAAATATGTAGAGTCCGGATTAAGTGAGAACCTATAAATGGGGACTTTTTGGTACAATTTCGTTCTTTAAAAGGTACTTTTTGTGTATTCTATAGCAACGGTTCCCAAATGGGGGTCCGCGGACCCCTAGTGGTCCGTAGTAAAATCCTAGGGGGTCCGCGAAGACGAACGAAAAAAACCATGAATAAACAATATTCTGCTTTTATATGTATGTATGTACATATCTCCAATTTTTGTGCAATAATCCCAAATTTTTTGGTGACTTTTTGAATTTTATTTTTTCGGTTGTTTATCAGGAAGAAGCTAGGCCCTACAAATTTATTGTATAACTTTTATAAAATAAAGTATTGCGTGATTTGTAATTTTTATTTCCTGTATATGTACTGAAATAATGGTTTTTATTTCAGACAAATAATACTCTGCCTTACAATTAAATTAGGGATACTGGTACCGGAGTATGAAGTTTAATTCAAAGACAAGCTTATTACAGATTTAAGTTTATCAAATTGTAAGCAAAAGTGTTCTTGTTTGAAAGGACTAAAATTATATATTTCCAAAACAGAGGTGACTCTTTATGTATATCTTTATAAATATTCCAATCCGACGTGATACACAGATTTTAACTTGATTTTGTTGACCAATACATATTATTAAATTAACATCAGAAAATCCATAGCGTTTCGCGTAAATATGTAGCCAAAAACCATGAAGTAAAATAATTCGTTGGTATTTTAAAATTCAAATTTAAGTTCCAAATTCATAGTACTTTAACAAAGAGTTCAAATCATATATTATGCGGATAACGCATTCCGCAACAACATAGAAGAAGTCCAACTTTCTTATATTATTTTCCCGAAAACTTAGCTCACTTACTCAGTTCACCCTTTGCAATCGCAACAAATTTTTGAAACGTGACTCCTTAAGCACATGTGACAATATTTGATAAAGAAACCTTTTCGCTACCTTGAAGAAAAATGAACATGAAAGATCTCACGATCATAAAATTAAACATCATGTTAACATATCAACAAAGAAGTCATTCTATCTTCAAAACATGCAATTGAAAACCTATCTGAAATATTATATATTCGCAAAGTACGGGAATATTTTATAGATATGACATCTCTACATTTATTAGACCTATTAATTAATGAACTAGGTCAATTTTCGGATGGACAATTATTTAGAACAATAAGATATCAAAATATGTATGGGGGTCCGCGAAATTAAATAAGTTCTTCAAGGGGTCCGCGAAGTAAAAATCGGTGGGAACCGCTGTTCTATAGCATTGAACCTAGAAATATTAAATTAAGTATGTTGGGCCCGAAGTAAGTAGGAACTTATAAAATGTAATAATATGGAACCTAGAAACATAATATTAAGTATGTAGGGTCCAGAGTAAGTGAGGACCTATAAAAGGGGTTTTTTGGTACCTTTTCGTTCTTCAAAATGTTCTTTTTGAATTTGTTATAATATTGAAAATAGAAATATGAAATTAAGCATGTAGTACCCTGAGTAAGTGAGAACCTTTTAAGTACATTTTCGTACTTCAAAAAGTACTTTTTGAGTTTTCTGCTACTTTTTCGTTTTGGAACTGGTATTTTGTGATTTTTTGTAATAAATCTCATATTGACAGTTTTGTTTAATTCACTATGGTGAAGGGTATAAAGATTAAGAAACGGTTTATTTGTTTATTTGCTCATAGAGTGAAATATATGTACATACATATATATATATATATATATATATATATATATATATATATATATATATATATATATATATATCTAGTCATGCCAAAATTTTGAGATAAAAATGTTTAAAATTTACATCCTCCTTCAGTCTTGGAAGTATGAGTGATAAATCTGACATCTATTCACCACGATTTATGATTATTTCAAGGTAATTTTCAATATTTTTGTGACAAAAAACTTTGTTACAAATTACTTGTGAAGAAGAGCTGAAGAGGCTCTGAATACGGCCTTGAGCTGGGCTCAACCGAGAGGCCTCAATGTTAACACTGACAGGCAAAGTTAAGTACTTAGGTGTAATCCTAGACCGCAAATTAATATGGAGACACCACATAGAGGATAGGATCAACAAGGCACATCGGTGCTGGGCGATATGTAGGAGAACTATAGGCATGAAATGGGGTCTTAGTTCTACTATGACAAATTGGCTTTATAAAAGTGTAATTAGATTAATTCTAGCTTATGCTTCAATAATCTGGTGGACTGCTTTAGACAAAAAGTGCAATATCATACTGCTACAGGGAGTTCAGCGTACATGCTGCTTGGGTATAAGTGGTGCCATGTGTACTACTTCAACCAAGGCTCTGGAAACGTTGCTAGATATACCACCAATTGAAACATATTTAAGATATGAGGCGACGCTTACAGCCGAACGACTCTTTACTTTGGGCGAACTGGCCAAAACGGTTATAGGACACGTCATCAATGTATACTGGACACATTGGAAGGTTATACACAATCATCGGACGTGCCTGATTGTATACCAGACACAGAATATGTCGGAAACTTTGAAACGCTAATCCCAGATAGAATGTCTTGGTCAAGCGGAACATTAGAGCAAATATCAGTAGGAATCCATTGTTACACGGATGGCTCTAAACTGGGGGACAAAGTGGAGCTGGGGTTCTATATTGAAGACCCAGAAACAGAAATATACCACCGTTTAACAAATTATAACACAAGCTTCTAGGTAGAAGTACGAGCAATAACGGAATGCGTAAATTGGATTAGAATAAATATGGCGCCCACAGCGCTTAATATATTTACCGATAGCCAGAACGCAATTAGGGCGATATCAGGTGATAGAACTAAATCTAAGACCGTATTGGATTGTAAGAAAGCTTTAACTGAATACTCTCCCAGAGGTTCACATCATATGGGTACCAGCCCACTTGGGAGTTGTCGGTAACGAATAGCTTTAAAAGGTAGGGAGCTCGAGCAAGTAAACCTGACAAACGCGAAACCAAACGGAACAAAAGCTGAACTAAAAACATGGATGAGAGAATCCCATAAGGCCTCTTGGAATAATGAAACAGTGGGTAGAACCACGGAGATCCTATGGGGTGACCCTGATGTGAGTAAAACGAAAAATCTCCTCAAAATGAGCAAGTCTGAAGTTAGTATGATGGTACGTATTCTGAGTGCACATCTATGCAAAATTGGACGTGCGGATTCAGACGAATGTAGAGCATGTGGAGAGGACAGTGAAACTCTGGAGCACTTTCTTTGCCATTGCCAGGCATTCGTCGAAGTTAGATCCAAGTATCTCGGAAGTGATGTTATTCCGGTAATAACATTCCTGACTAACACTGATTGGAAGATTCTTAGGAATTACGTTCAGGAAACTGAGTTTATGAACACTGAAAAATAATTCATTCAGTTTTTTTTCATGATAAGGAGTGCACAATAGGTCCGATAGTGACCTAGGTGTATTTCTTCGGATTTGATGTAGTATACATCCTCCTATCAACCTACCTACCTACCTACCTATCTACCTATAATGTGTTGCGAGAGAGATCAACAAATTTTTTTATATAAAAATAACTAAAACATTAAATATTAATTTTTTCTTTCTAATTTAACCTTTTTTAATTTTTTTTCTCAATGATTAATTAAAATATTTGACTGCCTAAAAAAGATATCCAAGTTGCATAATGACCAAAATCGTTGTAAACTAGTGTTATTACCTATAGTTTTTCGCGGAAATTTACGAATGTTTTCTAGATTGAAACCATAGGAAATTGTGCGTTAATATCTGGGAATTTTTTACTTTGATTTAATTTCCAACAGGATGTTTAAAAAACCTATAGAAGCAATGATCACACTGGCTTTTTATAGGAGGGATGTTCTTTTATTACAAAATAAATTTATAATCATCTCCTTATGGGAAAATATTGACATCGAAGGAGCTTTCAATAACGTGCT